CGGCTCCGCGCGCCGGCTGGACTCGAACCACCGGCCGGCGCCTCCCCACCCCGCGGAGCGTGTCAGACCTGGGGGGAGCGGATGGCAGAGACCCCGAAGTTCGGGGAGAAGGGCTAGGAACCGAGAAGAAGGCGCTCGGTGTCTGGGAACCCGATCTGTATTCCTGGAGTTGGGGGCCGGGGGGCGACGGAGAGTAGGAAACGTCCAGGGCACCGGGCGGGAGCTGCGGGAGGACCGCTTCCCTCTCGGATCGAGCTCCTACCCTTGTGTTCAGCCCCAGAAGAGTTTGTGCCCGAAAATCTAAAACTTTCAACCTCCCCCTCCTTTTTTTCCCCCTCTCTTTTCCCTCCCTCGTCTCTTCTTGATTTCTTGGCCTTGTCTTTAAGCGTGTGGCTCCTGGCGCCGGGCGCCTGCCGAGGGGACTCGGAGACGAATTCATTTCAGACTCCTGGTTTTCTGGAGCTCTTCATTCTCACTCCACACCCTCCTTTTTTTTTTTTTTTTTCCTCAGGCTCAAAAAAAAAAAAAAAGCCTTGGACGCCGTGTAAGGTGTTACGTGTCCGCAGATAGTCCAGACACAGGTTGGGAGGCGTGTGGAAGCTGCCAGTCCAAAGGGCTTGTGAAACCTGTTACGAGTTAGAACCGGTGATGTTTTTGATGTGTTTGCGGGAAATCAAGCCGGGAAGAGTTGAGGGCTTCTCTGGACGGAATGGTTTTCTAGTAATCGCCACAAGTTTTTTTCAGTCCAGGCTACTTTTTCTTTTGCCCGGCATAATTGGCAAGCTACTTTGCTTCTCCCGATGGTGTCAGTTTACTACCACTGATGTTCACATCTTAAAGCGTGAAGAAACTGTAAGTGGCTTTAGTTCTCTTGTTCTGTAGATTGACAAGAGAATGAAAGCAACCTTTTTTCAGACGTACTTGCACACCCAGCAACGAGTGTGTATGTATCCGCAGTTCTCACAGACAAATGTCACTTCAGTGATTTCGGAGTAGGGAGAGTTGAAGTCTCTTGGATCTTCGCTGTAAATACGACCTTTACTTTTTCAGCAGTTTGTATTTTCAGATCCTTGTTGTATGAATTCACTATGTTGGAGTTTTAATACAGAGTTAAAAATTCAAAGAGACATAGTTCAAAGTATCGCGTTTATAAT